TTTTAGTTTTTAAGAATTTATTTTGACTTTAATTTGATTTGATTTGATTTGATGTGATTTGTGGATTTTTATTAGCGTTTTTTTCAATTGCTTGATCACCAATTGAATTATTAGTAGATTTTATTGTTATGGAGAAAGAGAGATATATACTATTGTTTAAGCACAATATAATAAATGTTGTAAGATTCGATAGAAGAGAATAGAGATATACCTCTATACTTTATATGGTTTCAATAGGTGCTATAACAATTGTTAATGCATTTATCATGTTTACATCTTTTATCAAGAGATAGAATGATCGCATGATGAGAATAGATTTGATCGCTATCGAGAAAAACTTTCAATGAAATTAGGAACATTAACCAATATGAATAATCTCAAATTGTCACTTTAATAGATACACTAAAAATGGACTAACTGGGGGAATCCGACATTTTAGCAAAACTTCTCACATATTTGAAAAACACATTTACTTACTTTAACTAGTTTAATTGATAATTTAAGGACTAATATAGAAAAATCACAAAATTTATTTGCTATTCGATTAAAGTTGTAATTAATTTTAACTTGATCAAACACATAACCCTCGTAGGTTTGACACTCTATTTATCACTGTATTATTTGACAAAGATCCCTTGTACTTGTGGGTTTTCAAATGATCGAATTTTTGGCGTCGTTATCGCGGACTATTATTTTTGATAAGTTTAGTTAATTTTAGTTTTAATATGAATTTTAATTTTTTTAATTTAGTTCATTATATTAGAAAAACCTTGTATGCAAAATTCGAAAACCAGTGATCTTACTCAATTTGACCTGAGATCAAACGAGCATTCAACCTTCGAAAAAGATACATTTGAAAACACACTAAAAACAAAGAGAGAAAAATATGGCAGAGAAAATTCGAGTCAAATAGTCATCGGGGGTAATCTGGAAGTAACACTACTGAATGTGGCTGCAGCTAATGAAAATGAAAGGCTGATGGAGGAGTACATGGTTCCACTAGTTGTAGAAAGCAAGTATAGCATAGTATATTCGACATTTGGTCAAGCAAACTTCCACCTCAGGACTAATGTGATCAATATATTCCAAAACGTGCTACAATTATTTGGGAAAGCTATGGAGAATCTCAACGCTCATATATCAAGATTTTTGGATGTTTGCAACTATCGAGTATTCGGGTGTCCAGTGAAACAATTAAACTGAGGCTTTTCCCATACACATTGAGAGACCCAGCCAAGAGTAATTAAACACTTGTCCACCTCAGAGCANTCACTACATGGAACCAATTGAGTTATAAATTTCTTAACAAATATTTTCTGTCGAAAATGATTACAAAGCTAAGGGACAAGATTACCATATTCCAACAACTGGACTCAGAATGTTATTCAGAGGCTTGAAAAAAATACATGGATTTACTTTGCCAAAGCCCACAACACGGATTGCGAAAATGGCTTTAGGTGCAGTACTTCTACATTGGTCTGAATCTGATAAGCAGGGTTAACGTAGACTCTGCATGCGATAGTACTATCACAAAAAGAATCGCAAATCAAGTCTATCAAATCATGGAGGGCTTGGTATTCACTAGTACACTTTGGCCTACTGATAGAGCGAGTGAAAAGAAGGTTGTTAAGAGTATATGAAGTTGATTCTTTGACAACAATATAGCTCATTTGTCATCGTTGGTGCAAAAGGTGGAAAATATGAGTGCAACTCAAACTGTTGGACCGAAATGCAAGCATTGTGGAGGGAATCATGAGAATGTTGACTGAACCATGGGCCTTTTGCTTAGTAGTTAGATTATGTAAAATATGCT